TACAAAAGTAAAAATTTTTAACAGAAATTCAAATATTTTTAAAAAATTTAATAAAATTCTTCATCACATTTCAATTATTTTCATTTTTTTAATGAAATTTCTCAATTGAATTTAATTATTTTTAAAAAGTTTCGAAAAATTGTGAGAAATTCAATAATTTAAAAAAATTTGAATCAAATTCTTCACAAGAAATTAATTATTTTCATAAATAGTATAATATTTTTCTTCGGAATTTAATTATTTTTACAAATAAAATTCTTTTCAAAAATTCAATTCTTTAAAAAAAATTTTAATAAAATTCGTTTGCAAAATTCAATTATTTTCATAAATAACAAAATTTATCACAGAATTTCTAATATTTTTTTATACAATTTTAAATAAAATGATAGAAAATTGCATTTATATAAAATTTTTTTTTTTTAAATTCGCTGAAAGAATTCAATTATTTTCAAAAATTTTGATAAAATTCTTCATGAAAATTCAATTTCAAAAAATATTCAATTTTTTAATAAATTATTTATCTTTATATTTAAATAATTGAATTTTTGTAGAATTTTCTAATAAAATTTGATTTAAAAATGAATTTCAGTTAAAATTTTAAATTATAATTGAATATTGAAAGCATTATAGCGTGAATTTTTAGAAATAATTGAATTTTGAAAAGTGTTCGAATTAAAATCTTTGAAAATTTGAATTTATTGTTACGAGTCGAAGACTCGGAGTTATATCGATTTCTTCATGTTTTATAATATATATTCTCATAAGTTATTAAATTTCAGAAGGTTTGAATTTGAAAGTCTTAAATCCTATAGAAAATTATTAATGATTATATTTATTTAAAAAAGAAGTTATTGATGAAACGAATAATTTTAAAATTAAAGAAAATTTAAAAATTTTACCTGAAAAGTCAGGGAAAAAGGAAATTAAAATTTTGTGGCAACCCTTTTAATTGCAGTTTTTAAATTAATATTTATGTATATAAACAAATCGTTTTTACATTGTGACTAAGAGACGTTAAATTTATTCCCCCTTTTTCGCCTGGAATCAAGAAAAGATATTCATCGCTCTCACAAACGCTTTGTGTCGATGATGAAAAAAGAGGGGTAAATTAGCGAGGTATTTACCGGAACATATGTGCGTTTGCATATTTTTGAATTATTATCCTTCAAACTCTAAGGATGCGCACTTCGTCACAGTACATTTTCACCGGAAAGAACGAAAGGCTCCTTTTGCAGGTGTAACGCCTCCAGCAAATTATTCCATGGAGTTGATATTATTCGACACGAGGGGTTCAAATTACAAATTGATAAAAAATCATTTCTTCCACCCAAACACATAAATATTAGACAATGTTTTGACTTCGCTATTTATTAATTCTTTAGAATATTTCGTTTCTATTTTTTTTTTGAATATGAATTAAATTTGAATTAACAAGTAACTGAAATTTTTTAATAATAAAAAATAATACAAAAATCTTTTTAATATAAAATCTATTTTTCTTTTTTTTTTAATAGGAATTAAATTTGTATTAACAAGTGATGGAAATTTTTTAATAATAAAAAATAATACAAAAATCTTTTTAATATGAAATCTATTTTTGTTAATAGGAATTAATTAACAAGTAATTAAAATTTTTTAACAATAAAAAATAATATGAAAGAATTTTTTTGGCATTTTTTTTTGGCGCCTCATATTGAGTGACAAAAGAAAAATTTGCATTCGAATTTATATATATATAGGTACTCTTTTCAATATCGAGCAATTGGGACAAGTTAAAGAGCATGTCCTTGCGATTTAGAGTCTCCTACTCGAATCATTGATTACGAGAGAGTGGGAGCCCGATGAACCGGAAGTCGTTGAACTCAGAGAAATGGCGATGCTGTGGCGGTATGTCGTTAATTCCTGCACTCGTTCTCTTGTAATTGAACGCGCCCGAATCGCTCCTTTTTTTTCGAGACTGAAACTTGATTCCGCATCCTTGGTCACGAAGAACGATTTGCACGCGCATATCGTCCATTAGTTAACCCGCCTTTAATCGAGACGGAGATAGCGGCCAAAGAAGGAAAGCAGAAAGAGAGAAATCGATTCATTTAAAACGCCGTAGCTCTTTAGTTCTTGCATATATATATATATAGCAATTGCATAAATTAATTTTAACGAATTATTCCCAATTTCGAGGAATTTTTCTTCTTTCTTTCAACATTCTGAAGACAATAATATCGTACTTTTAGTTTTAAATAATTTTTTTTTATATAATATCAGACTTTGCACTCACCTACTAAAACCTACTATTTACTACTTTTTTGACGATTTGCTACTATTTTTATACTTTTTTTTTATATTTGTCTCACTAAAAGCTAATTTTTTTTTTTTAATTTACACGATTTTAATTTAATTTTATTTAATTTTAATTTTTAATAATTTTCACACACAATAATTTACACTGCTTTAAAATCAGCTAATAATTGAAAAAAAAAATATTTGTCGAAAATTTTAATAAAATTCATTAAAAGGATTTATAATTATTTTCAAAAATTTTAATAAAATTCATTGAAACGATTCAATTATTGTCAAAAATTTTAATAAAATTTATTGAAACGATTCAATTATTTTCAAAAATTTTTATAAAATTTTTCGCAAAGATTCAATTATTTTCAAGAATTTTAAGAAAATTTTTCGAAAGGATTCAATTCTTTTTCCCAAATAATAAAATTCGTCGATGAAATTCAATTGTTTTCAATTTATCTACTATTTTAATAAAAAAATTTCCTAAAACAATTCAATTATTTAAAAATTACATAAAATTATCTGCAAACATTCAATTATTTTCATAATTATAAGGAACTTTCATATAAAACTTTTTATATAAAACTTTCATAGGAATTTAATTTTTTAAAATACAATTTTCATAAAATTCTTCATCAAAAAAAAAATCAATTGTTCAAAAAAATTTTTATAGAATTCTTCCCAAGAATTCAATTATTTGTAAAGAAATGTAATAAAGTTCTTCCCAAGAATTCAGAATTATTTTTTAGAAAAAAATAAAATAAAATTCGTTGCAAGAAGTCAATTATTTTCATAAATAATAAACCCTAAAAGAATGTAATTATTTTCAAAATGTTGAAAAAAAATTCAATTACTTAAATAAATTTTAATAAAATTCTTTGTAAGAATTCAATTATTTTGAGGAATTTTAAAAAAATTCTTTGCAAAATTAAATTACATTCATCACAAGAATTCAATTATTTTCAAAAGCAATAAAACTCGTCTGAGGAATTTAATTATTTAAAAAAATTTTTTTAACACTTTTAAGATTACAATTATATTTTTTACAAATAGCAAAATTCTTCGACAAAATTCAATTATTTTCAGGAATTTTAATAAAATTCTTTTCAAAATTCAATTATTTTTATAAATAAAAATATTCATTCCAAAAATCCAATTATTATTAAAAATAATAAAATTCTTTGCAGAAATTCAATTATTTTCAAAATTTTTTTTAATATCCTCGTCAAGATTTCAATTATTTTTATAAATAACAAAATTTTTCTACAAAATTCAATAATTTTCAATATCTACTATTAAAATAGAATTTTCTAAAAGAATTCAATTATTAAGATACAAATTATTTTTTCAAATAATGGATTAAATAAAAGTTAATAAAAATCTTTGCGAGAATATTATTATTTTCACAAACGTAAAATGCAATTATTCTCAAAAATTTTAATAAATTTTTTTTAAGAATTCAATTATTTTTCAAAATGTTGATAACTTACTTTATAAAAATTCAATTGTAAGAAATAATAAAATTCTTTAATCAATTTTTTTTTCTATTTAAATTTTAAATAATTGAATTCTCGCAGAATTTTCTAACAAGAATTAATTTTAAATTGAATTTTAGTCAAAATTTTAGTTAATTAAGTATTAGAACCGTAATTTTTTAGAATGAATTAAATTTCAAAAAGGTTTTACATTAAAATTATTTAAAATATTAATTTATGCAAAAAAACCAATATTTAAATATATATTTATCAAAAATTATTCAAGTTTTTAATAATTTAATTTCGAAATTATGAATAAAAATTAGTCTTTTGAAAAGTTGTAATTAAAATTTTTTGAAATCAGTCTAATTCTAGTAAATAATTTAAAAAGATTAAATTAAATTTGCATTTAATTGAAGATTTTGTGAAAGTTAATTAAAATACATTTTATATTTTGAAGAATTTTATTTTTTTTTACTTTTAAAAATTATTTTTAAATATAATTCTATTTGTGAAGAATTCTCTCAATAAGTTTCGAAAATATTTGAACTTTAAAAAAATTCCGAATAGAATCTTATTACGATAAGCAAAAAAAAAAAATGAATATTTTTTATAGAAATCAGGAAAAAAAAGTCAGGGAAATATTTTTTCTGTCTTAAGATACTTTTTGCTATTTTTTTTTTAAATAATTATCTAGTGCGAAGCCTCTGTAATAATTCACAACGAAATTTTCTACTGAGATTTTTAAATTAAATTTTTAAATTAAATATTTTATTATTTCACTAAGACATTCATCGTTTTTGCTGAAACATTTTAAACTAATAATGATTCAAGTTACCCACGCTGAAAATGTCAAATTTACATAGTCCTCGGAATAATTTAAAAGGATATAAATAATCCTCTATTGATGGATTATTCAATGAACAGTAAAAAAATAATATTGTAGAATTAAAATCTTGAGATAAAATTTAAAAAAAGATTTTGAATAATGTAATGCAATCTTTTTCAATAAATCTTGAATGACATCCATTAAAATTTTTAAAGAAACGAAATTCAGTTATTCATAATATTTAATGTATATAATATCTATTATTCTATTTCAAATTTTAAAAAAATGTATAACTAAAAATTTTAATTTTCATATTTTCGATGAAAAATGCGATATCGAATACAGTGGTGATATGAGTGTATGAATTGTGAAAATAATTTATAAATCATTTCGATTTTTTTAATTTACAGCATTTTTATGGCAAAAGAAGAAAGAAAAATAATTGCGGACAAAAGGAAAAAAGGCGAAAGTAACCTGAGGAGTATTGTCAGGTGTTGTTGAATCATTTGGATAAATATCTACGTCTTGTATCATTCTGGCCTGGAATAACAACAGGTGGTTGACAAGTAAGTTACTTCTGGGATCATTTTTTGCAAAAAAAAAACTGTCTTGGGACTCTGAACGAAACGCTGATTCACCTGAACTTCAAATTCTTTTTAAGAATCTAGATACAAAGTAGAAAAGAAATGTTGTAAAGGAAAACTGGGTTGCCACAGTTTAGGGAAATCAGGAAAATGTCACGATTGTAGGGAAAAAGTAAAAAAAAATAAAATAAAAATAACAGTAGTGGGAAAACATCAAAATTCTAGAAATACAACAAAAAAATCTACTTTTTATGTCAAAAAATATTTTTCAAATACTGAAAAACCTTAAAATCTTTTCAAATTTTTTCTCACCTTAAAAACTTTTTATATTTGAAAAAAAATTCTTAACATAATAAATAAATTTTTTTTATTTTTTATTAAAGAAGTATGTTTTAATTAAAATAAATTAAATGATTGTCTGCTAATTGGCGGATGGAGTTACCTGACTAACATTTTTTCCAAAATTATTTTACAAAAATACTCCGCCAATTAGCAGACAATCGAATTTTCGAGTTTTGCGAAGCAAAGAGCTTTAAAAAATTAAATTGTTAATAAACAATTGATTTTGTTGTTGCCTATTGTTCCTTAGATGTTTCTTTTCAAGAATTTACTTTAGTAAAATAATTTTGGCAAAATTACTAGTCAAAATACTCCATCCGCCAATTAGCAGACAATCGAATTTTCATAAACAAATAATTGAAATTTTCTGAAATTGTATTAAAAAGTAATTGATTTTTTTAAAAAGAATTTTATTGAAATTCTTGAAAATAATCGTGGAAAGTTAGCCACTGTAACTACTTTCTTTTTTCAAATAAGTAAAAATTCTTAAAGTTTTTAAATTAAAATTTTGCTTCTAAAAAAAGTTTTTTTTTATTATAAATGAAGTGACCTTGGATTTTTTTATCAATGAGATAAGTAGGAAAGTCGTAATTGTGGTAACCCTGATAATATGAATTAAATAAAAAACAAAATCATTTCTTTAATAATGTGCATAGAAGAAAAGTAATAATTTTTTATTGTACGATCAGTTTTTAATGTAATTCCACAAATTCTAAATATTTTAATAGATTATCAATTAATTCAGAGTTCCAGGAATTTTTGCAATCCTGCAGAAGTTATCGACCTTGAGGTTCAATGGACTAAATCCAGTGGTGGAAAAAAGAAGAAAGAATATTGTGAAATTTATAAAAAAAATTTGCAAATATTAACTAGATTTTACTAATTTGAACTCAAAATTTCTAGAAATTTTCTATCGAATTAAATTAAAGGGAAAATCAATTTTTGCCCTCTTTATTTAATTAAATGAAAATCAATTTTTTCCCTCTTTATTTAAATAAATGAAAATCAATTTTTTTCCTCTTTATTTAAATAAAGGAAAATCAATTTTTACTTTTCATTTAATGAAAGGAAAATCAATTTTTCCATTTTCATTTAATTAAAGGAAAATCGATTTTTTTCCTTTTTATTTAATTAAAGGAAAACAATATATTTAAATGAATTTATTACTTGGTAAAAATACTAAAAATTAAAAGGAAATTATCAATCTTCCAAGTCAAATAATTTTAAATTGAATTTCAATTTATTCACTATTAATAAAATGTTCTGTTAAATTAAATATGAAAAGGGAAAAATTTATTTTCCCTTAAAATTAAAAGGAAATTATCAATCTTCCAAGACAAATATTTTCAAATATTTGACTTGAAAGATTGATAATAATTTCCATTTTAATTTTAAAGAAAAATAAATTTTTCCCTTTTCGTATTTAATTGAATAGAAAATGTTATCGACGATGAATAAATTGTGATTCACTCATTTCACCCACTACTGAATTAAGTCAAAATGCACCTGAAGCGTCGCTTAATATGAAAACCCTATACAATATCCAGAGACTGGACACAATGGTTTACTGCTTTAATATAGCGGCGTCAATACGAGCGGAATATCAGAGAATCACGACTTCCGACAGTGGAGCAAATACCTGACCAAGAATGAGGCTGTTGCAGAGAGTGGCCATCACTGGACTATTGTCCGTGATGCTGATCCTTCTCCTGACGGGAGCTTTCATTTCCCGACATGACCTAGCTAGCGTCGTTGACCGGGGCGTCGGTCCCCAGGAGCGACCCGAACAATCAAATTCCGCTTGGCTCCAGGAAAATGTCATTCCCGATCAGGATTATGAGAAAAATGACGACCGAGGACATTTAAATCCAAATGTTGTCGTCAATGTGAGACACAGATCGCATCATTCAGAGCCATCGGCCGTTGGTCCACCGCCAATTACACATCCGGGAAAATATCCCATTCGTCCTCCCAATCCTCCCCTGGACGATATAACTCATCAACGAAGGGAAAAAGTCAAGGAGGTAAGTGATTATTTACTATTTAGTATTTTTTTTCTCAATCTTGGGTAAGTATTGTATAAGTATGCTTAAACAGCGTGTGACTGTTAGAAATTCGATGGTAATTTTTTCGCGACCACTTTTCTCTTCAAATAATTATAATAAATTCACCTGAAATTTTGTAAGAAAGTCTAAAATATAACAAAGAAGGGCAATGATGTGCAAAAGTTTTAATAATTAAAAAATAGATTATAATAAAATTTGAAATCGGTAAAGACAAGAAATTGATTAGATGAAGTGACCGTGACAACTGATAATTTTAAAATAATTTGTAATAATTACTTTTGGAAATAGTTTTTAGCAAGGTTGCACTATGCAAGTTTGGAAAATTTTAGCAAAATATCCTCATGACTCGATGGTTTATTCCAAAAATGAAAAAAATGGCAGGAATAAAATTTGACTTAATTTCCAGTAGTGCCTAGATATCAATAGCATTCGCAGAGTAAACGGAAATGAAAGAGAATCGTAAGAGGAAATCGATAAATTCTTTGTTCGACGAGACCTGGTAGCCGATATTCGCACTCGAATTGGCGGCTTTTGAGCGGAAAGGCCATTTAAAAAAAAGTGAGAGAGAGAAAAATGAAAATGATCCGGAAATAATTTTCAAAAATGGAGTCACAGCAAAAGAACACCAATCAAAGTAAAATATAAATTGCAAATAATGAAGCTGTGGTAAATTATTATATTACCATATTTTTTTATATTCATTTAAGTAGTAATAATATATGTTATTAATATTAATAATATATTAATATATTAATAATTTAATATATTAATAATATTAATAATATATCAACATATGAATAATATAATATTAATATTAATTAAAATTATTTAAAAAATTCTAATATTATTAATAATATTTAAATTTTTTTAATAGTTTTAATTTATTTTTCAAGTAATAATAAATAGGTTTGCCACAGATCAGGGAAGTCAGGAAAATTATAATTGGTCAGGGAAATCAGGGAAAAGTCAGGGATTTTTATTAAAACTACTGGAAAAAATTAAATTTTTATAATTTATGAGAAAATTCTGAATTTTAGAGTCTTTTTTGCTTGTCTCATAAACTATGAAATTGACAAGAATTCTAATAAAAAAAACCTTTAATTTTTTCTATTTCTGACAATAATTTCTTCATAAATAATTTAATTCCTGAAAAACTATCATAAAATTATTACTTGTAAATTATTAAAGAATTATTTTACTTAAAAAATTCAAAATTAATTTGATTTCAAAAAAAGGTTGGGTTTATAATCTTTATAAATAGATGAACTTTAAAGGATTCAATTTGAAATTTTAAAAAACATCAATTTTTAATAAATAGAAATCTTAAAAACAACTTATTACAGAAATTCAATTATTTTCAAAAATAATAAACTTCTTTGCATAAATTCAATTATGTTCAAAAATTTTTTTTAAATTCTCGTCAAACTTTCAATTATCTTTATAAATAATAAAATTCTTCTTCGAAATTTAATTATTTCGAAGATAATTAATTATCAAAACAATTTAATAAAATACTTAGCAAAATTTCAATTGTTTTCAAAAAATTTCCTCATTTCAATTATTTTTAATATCTAGTATTTTAATAAAATTTTCCAAAATAATTCAATTATTTAAACAAAATTTTAATAAAAATGTCACAGGAATTCAATTACTTACCAATTTTATATCAATTTCATCGTACCAATTCAATTATTTTAAAATTTTTAATGAATTTTCTCGAAAGAATTTAAATATATTCAAAGAATTGAAAATAATAGTTCTGAGAAATTCAATTATTTCGAAAAATTTAAATAAACTTCTTTTAAAAATTCTATTGTTTAAAAAAATGTTGACGAAATCCTTACAAGATTTAGTTAATAAAATAGAAAATTTAATAAAATTTTTCTATAACAATTAAATTATTTTCAATGCAATTCTTCTTAAGAATTCAATTATTTTCACAAATAATACATTTGTTTATAGAAATTCAATTATTTAAAAAAGTTTGAATAAAATTCTTCGCAAGAATTCAATAATTATTTTCATAAATAATAAAAATTTTCAACAATTCAATTACATTTTTATAAAAAATAAAATTCTTCGAAGCAATTCAATTATTTAAGCAATTTCAATAAATTTCTTCCCAAGAATTCAATTATTTTCAAAAATAAAATATTTCACAGAAATTCAATTATTTAAAAATAAATTTAATAAAATTCTTCGTCAGATATTTCAATTATTTTCAATTTTTTAATGAAATTTCTAGATAAAATTTAATTATTTTCAAACAGTTTTAAAAAATTCTGAGAAATTTAATTATTTAAAAAAAATTCAAATAAAATTCTTCGTTAGATTACAATTGATTTCAATTTTTTAATGAAATTTCTCAATGGAATTGAATTACTTTCAAAAAGTTTGAAGAAATTCTGAGAAATTCAATTATTTAAAAAAAATTGAATAAAATTCTTCACAAGAAATTAATTATTTTCATAAATAATAATATTTTTCTCCGGAATTCAATTATTCTCACAAATAAAATTCTTCGCAGGAATTCAATTCTTTAAAAAATTTCTTAATAAAATTCGTTCCAAGAATGCAATTATTATTTTCATAAATAACAAAACTTATCGTAGAAATTCAATTATTTTTTATACAATTTTAAATAAGATGATTGAAAATTGCATTTGTTTTTAAAATTTTTGTTAAAATTCGCCGAAAGAATTTAATTATTTTTAAAAATTTTAATAAAATTCTTCATAAAAATTCAATTTTCAGAAATATTCAATCATTTTATAAATTATTTATTTTTCTATTTGGTAATTCTCGAAAATTAAGAAATTAAAAAAAAATTAATTAGAAAAATTTTCTAATAAAAATTGATTTAAAAATGAATTCCACTAAAAATTTTTAATTATAATTGAATATTAAAAGCATTATAGCGTGAATTTTTATAAATAATTGAATTTTGAAAAGGGTTCAAATTAAAATCTTTGAAAATTTGAATTTATAGTAACTAAAATAATAATTTTCAGAAGGTTTTAATTATTGAAAATTTTAATTCCTATATAAAAGTAATAATGATTACTCTCTAAATCTGAATTAGTAGTTTTCTACTAATGAAATAGTGCGGATTCGTTTACCAATTGAATTAGTAACTGTTATTACTAATTTTTAGTAGTTTTTTTTACTAATTATTAGTAGAAAATTTACTAATTTTAAATAGTAAAAAATACATTCTACTAATTGAATTAGTAATTTTCTACTAGCAATTAGTAAAAAACTACTAAAAATTAGTAAAAAATGTTACTAATTCAAATTGGTAAACGAATCCGCACTAATTCAGATTTAGAGAGTAAATATTAATTTAAAAAAGAAGTTATTGATGAAATCGAATCGAATGAATCAGAATATTCTTCAGGGTCAGGGAAAAAGTGAAAATTTTTTCTGGAAATCAGGGAGAAGTCAGGAAAAAACAAAATTAAATTTTTGTGGCAACCCTGATAAATTAATATATTAATATATTAATATATTAATAATATTAATAATATATATAATATATTAATTTCTTTCACGGGATTATTTTATATCTATACCTCATCACAAGTACACAAAAAGTAAAAGTAAAATGAATCCCGTTTCACTTGGAAACAAGTAAATAGAAAATAAAACGACGAGGGAATTTGAAAATGTAAATATCTCTTGGCTATTTGATTTATATATATAGAAAAAAAAGGTGAAAACAAACGAACCAATGCAAGCAAATTTTTTTTCAAGAAGAGATGTTTGATTAAAAAGCAATTTTTGCAAATTGAATTCTCTTCACATGATATTGGAATTTGATATTAATGGTTAATTAAATTGTAATTGGGAATAAAATGATTATTGTATATGTATATAGTTTCTTGCTATTTAATATTGCAGAGTTATTTTTGCCAGATTGATCTTATCTAACGTTGTATCCATGTCTAACAACCGCGTTTACACTCTTGTCTTAAGTTGCAGTCTACTCTTAAGATGAAGTACTCAACGGCTTATCTTAATGGCAGTGGTCATTTACACGCAACTGAGAACATCCACACATTTGCAGATTTAAAATGCACTTTTTCTTGAAAAAAAAAATTATCTTTTTCCTGTATAATCTAATATTATTATTATTTAGGAATCCGTATAAGGATTGGAAAATGATTTTAAAATGATTCTGTAATTTCACTCTCACTTTCACGTCACTCTCACTTAACTTTCACTTCAATTTACTCTCACTCTCACTTTCACTTCACTCTCACTTAACTTTTACTTCAATTTACTCTCACTCTCACTTTCACTTCACTCTCACTTAACTTTTACTTCAATTTACTCTCACTCTCACTTTCACTTCACTCTCACTTAACTTTTACTTCAATTTACTCTCACTCTCACTTCACTCTCACTTAACTTTTACTTCACTCTCACTTTTACTTACACTTTTTTTACACTTACTTCACTTTTACTCTCATTTCACTTAAGTGAAAGTAAAGTTTTGATTAATTCAAATTGAAATTATTGTGAAGTGAATGTAAAGTGAGAGTGACTTGAAAGTGAAGTGAAAGTGAATTGAGAGTAAAGTGAAAGTAAATTGAGAGTAAAGTGAAAGTGAAGTGAAAGAGATTTGAGAGTAAAATAAAAGTGATTTGAGAGTAAAGTAAAAATGAAGTGAAAGTGAATTGAGAGTAAAGTGAAAGTGAAGTGAAATTACAGAATCGCAATTTTTGATAATACTGTACTCTTAATGGTAGTAATGTTAATAGTCCTATTGTTAATAGAATCCAGTGAGATTGTTTTTTAATCTCACATTAAATATTGATTTCCACATTCGCCTGGGGGTTGCTCGTTCGAAGGAAGCTCACTTGGAATTAAGTAAATGTTCAAGATAAAATGAGAACATTGCAAGTGCCAGATACTTCCATTTCCAAAGACGTTAATGTAATTGACTCGTTATCGCT